AAAGATATATTCTAGATGATTTTGGCAGCAGACCCATCAGATGCCTTTTCAGTGCACTTAAAGGGAATCTCAATCATATGTGGCATAAGAGGACTAGGTAGTGACTTCTGCAGTGTGGGAAGACAATTAACATCATCGCAGATGTTGTAGAACCTGGCTCGGGCCCAACAGCTAGAAGACAGAGAGATCTAGTATAGTTCCTACCTACCCAGGTTCATTGGAGATACATGCCTCTACCTACATTTCAATAAAACAAAAAAATAAAAATAAAAACACACCTATACATATGAATCGCTGCAGTTTCCAGTTGAAATGAACTCTAGAGGCAGTAAAACTTAATATAAATTATGATTTACAGGCCAGAGTTTCGATTAAAAAAAGCACAATTCCTTGCACAATATTATGTTATGACCACAAAACAATTTTAAGATGCTGCAAGATTTAAAAATGGATACTTTTGAACGTTAGCATCACAAACACAGCTTCATATGTATGGGTCTTCTAACTCAGTAGGTTTGCTCGATAGCTCATACGATGCGGCGCTGCACTTGTGAGGTGAAACTACGGTTTGACAAAACAGTTCAAACCCGCATAGAAAGAAGTTACAATAGCATGGTTGCACCAGCAAATGTGTTTTTATAAGACTTTTGCATTTGCTAACACTATCGGGTATTTTTACAGTTGAGTTTGGTGTAGGGGGTTTGCTATTTTCCAATTTTCCAACATGTTAACATTTTAGTGACACTCCCTGGACGATTGAATTCTGAACCGACCACAATATGTACCTGAATCAGCGAATCAGCGACACCACAACACATGCCTGTACCAATGTAATAAAAATGTGGCCACGGTCACGTATTGAACCTGTGTTTTTTTAGCGCCACTCACTGGACATTTCACTTTTAAACTGCCGTGGAACATGCAATAAGGTACGTAATCACGGTGTTGCAGAAATGTCACCACAATCGCACATTTTCAGTGAGCCTGGTTGGTTCCTACACTGCGAAGCCACTTCTCAAGCCCTCTGCAATTGGGATTATTATAGCCAGGATTTAGGAAAGAATTCCATGGATACAGATGATAGGAATGGTTCTAGAGCTGGTGATGACAGCTGTCCTGGCCAATGTGGCTGCTTTTCCTGAAACTTTCTTTCCATCAATCCCTATAGTGTGGATTGGGATATACATGTTCAGGATGTGTGGGTCATGGAAGATGTTCTATGTATAACATGCCAGCATGTTTTATTCGTAAAACTAACCAGGGTAACATAGGCGTATCACTGTGGCTCAGCACAACAGGACAGTGCTTCAGTTTTGAGAGCCCCTCAGGACCAATGTCTCTAGGATTGTGGCTGTGCTTTCTCTCTCTCCCACATTATGGCCAACATCTGAGTACCTCATGCCAGCTCTCCTGCATGAGCCACAATGGGGTCACAATGGTGCTTGGGGTCTTTCATGTATAGCACAGCTTTCTTCATTGTGAGGGAATGCAGAAGGCAAGACAATATAATGACCTGTAGAGATTGTCATGGACCATCGGAGTAAAATAATGTCAAGGTGGGATGGTCGAGACATGGGAATGCATAATGTATTTTCACCGATGTTTCCTAAAGTAAGTAACCCAACAAATCTTGACATCTAATGCAGAGAAATTATTTGAAATATAATGCCATTTTATGTGATCGTTACACTAATTTATACTGTACTTAAACTGCAAAATATAATTGCTTCACACTGGTTTGAGGAAATCTATCCCGATACTCAAATCATTTGGTGAGCCAACATTGCTATCTCAGGTCATTCAAACAAATAATCTGCAATTGTATTTGGTGCTGCTAGTGGCACTGAAATTGCTTGGTGCAATTTTAACATAAGCTATGTAAAAAACATTTTGTGTGGAGTGCATCTGGGGGGCTGAACATCACCGAGGTCCCCAGGCAGAACGGCATGAACATCACTGACTCGCTTTCCAACCGCTCTCTGGTCATCACCACCATCCTGGTAAGGTCATTGAGATGCGTGTGTGTGAAGGAGAGCGCTCTTCTGTCTCCTGCTTTATCATTCTATGTCTAATTTACTCTTTCTCCAAATTTCACTTTCTTTTCTAGTGTGCTTTACCTTGTTTCAGGTCAGCACATGGGCTGCTTTTCAAGTAAAGAAACGCACGTGCTCCATATTCTCATTTCCTCTCACAGAAGAGCCAAATAGCTCTGTCCCTTTCAGTGTCTCAGTCCTTGAAATAAATCGACCTGGCTGAATCAACAACACAAGATGTCTTCCCCGGTTTGAAATCAAGTTTGAGCCTCAACCTTCTCCCCTGACTGCTTTAGTAAGCGGAATAACAATTCTGAATTGGAGTTGGTACCGACTCTCAACATATTTTGGCCATTTGAATTTGGAAATTAACCTAGAGTACAGTTAATCATAATGAAATTCTGTCATGACAACTCTCAGAGTTCATCATGGTAATATACATGGCAATGTTAATGTGTTTGGCCTTGGTGGAACAGATCTGCTACACTGCTGCTACTGCGGCAGAGGAAGTATCGAGACTTGCAACTGCTAATACATCCACAGATACGCTGCTGTGAGCATGTAAGAAATATTGCTGCTGCATATATAGGATATGAAACAACCTCATCCATAACATACATGAAATTACCCCGTATACAGGTGGAGCTGGGGAAGGTGGAGGGTTTCTAAAGTGTGCTGCAACTGCTACAGCAAGCACTAGCCGAGTGTTTGAATGTTGAGCAGCAAGCTCATTGGCTGCTGGTATTAAAATAAACCAGCTGACACCAGCAAATCAGCTGCACCATGTGAATAATGATGTGATTGTATCAGATTGAGTTAGAACCTATCGGCCTGCACCATCTAGAGTTTCATGACAGAACATTCTATTAAAGGCAGGGTAGGTGATTAGGTTCACAAACATTATGCTGGTTGAAAGTCTCTTCACATCCCTATAGCAATCACTAAGTTAAGTGGTCTAAATGTATTTATATTGGCTGTGTAAGGCATATGACCATAAAATATTTGTCCAATCAAAATTTTCGTTCCGAAGATTACGATAGGCTGTCCTGTCTGCCTGTCAAAATATGTATTTGCATACTTCTGCCCACCCTGTTTGTGCAGACATGATACGTCATCAGCACGTTCCAGCAAGAATGAAAGTGTTATTATTGTAATATTCTGCACTTTGTACTGTAATGTTTTCTCACCAGTGAATGAGACATGAGGTAATCTGACAGCGTTGCATTTGCTTTGCACAGTGATTATGCAGGGAGGGTGGGGATCTTGCTTTCAAAGCTAGCTTGCTATTGCTAGCCTTTCCGAAATCGCCTAACCTACCGTTAATGGGGTTTTTTTCCGTACAAATGTTGCCACATTTTTGCTTGTCTCTAGTCGGTTTAGACCCAGTTGCTACTACTTGCAATGTGTTTCACCAAACTACTCTCATAAAAGCAGGCCACATAGTAAAAAAACTGTTTGCGGAGGATATCCGCATGCTTTAAAAGCACAGCATAATGGAACAAAGCACATATATCTCGAGATATGAAATCTTATGGTGCAAAACGCTGAAGAAAAATAAAAGGTATCAGTGAAAAAATTGAGTATGCATGCATCATGTCATACATGATTATTATTATTTTTTTAAAGTTAGATAAATAGTGTTTCAGTTTTTCTACTTAATAATTTCATGTTTAATTCAGTGTTACTTTCCATTTCTTTGTAACTGAAATGTAGTGAAAATTGTTTCTAAACCGCTTTTTTATTTTTATTTATTTATTTATTATTATTTTTGACTGCATAATTGCATATGCAAATTAAGCATAATTTACTGTTATTACTGGACTAAGGACATGCAACGTATAAAAAGGGCATTGTAAAACTAAGTTCCACTGTTAATTTAAATTAAATTGATTAATCAATCTACTTATGACGCAATTCTTTTGATTGAAAATTTTGACTGCCATCCTTAGGAATAAGTAATACACTTCAATGGCTAACCATTGCACAGGTACCTTAAAAAAAAATCAATGAATTCATTTATTGGATAATGCAACTGACCCACTCCAATTTGATTTCCCTCCATAGGATATTTTCAGAGATTTACTATAGACATGACCTTATCTTGTTACTGTTACAAGCAGATGCATGCTAGGTGAAATTCTGCTTTACCCAATGCAATTTGCCAGATAATAGCACAAATTACACATCTTAAAATAAATGTGTGCCCATTCAACACTGCATTCTCACAGATGCCTGGAGGGCTGCCTTTACAGATGTCGCAGGAATGTTTCAGGATTGTGTGGTACTGGCAGCAGACTCTGTGGACTTATTTTGGACAGGCAGATAAGTTATCAACAGGGATAAACACTGTCATTAAATTCAGAATGAACTGCAAGGCTATAATTATGTGTTAAGTTCTTGATAGGATATAATCAGTTATTTTCTATTTTACCAAGCAGTGGTCCTGGGTTTTGTTATCTAAAGATAGTAACCAAGTATTTATTAAAGGGGTTATATAATGCTGCTAAAAAGAACATTATTTTGTGTATTTGGTGTAATGGAATGTGTTTATGCGGTTTAAGGTTCAAAAACCACATATTGTACATTATTGTTTCTCCTCTATGCCCCCGCTTTTCTGAAACGCGTAGATTCATCAGTGGCAAAATATTTAAATATAAAAAACGTACTTACAGTCTGTGAGTCAGAACAGCCGGCATTGTAGTCTACTCTCCCAGGATCAGGAAACAGTCATCCATAAAATGCGCTGCACACATCTGAATATTTTGGGTTAAACTGTTCTGGAACAGTGTTGTAAATACAACTTAACCACTGATTTCTAGTTGTGTCCTCTTTTGGAAGACCAAACAAAGTAATTTCGTTTTCCCAACGAAACACAGTGCCTTCATGACATGGTGGTGGCGGCAACAACAATACTACAGCGAGAATAAAAGTTATGCCGCCTTTCTCTGCGTGAACACTTGGGCAGCCTTATGCAAATCTTCCCACATCCTGACATAGACATGTGGGGGCGTGTAAACAGGGGTATTGAAATTGAATAAGGGTCACTCGAAAAGCTGTTTTGAATACAAATTAATAATAACACATCACATGACACAAACAATTATGACAGATAGAAATTATGGTGTACCAACATCCAAAAGCTTCATTGACAACAACTTCCTTCAGAAATAATGCAAACCGGTGCTGGAAATGCCAAAGTCTAATTTGTGGACCTTAGAATATAATATGATCATATTATTGCATCAGCTGACAAATAAGAAGCTCAAAACTTTTGTCTGATATCATTGCTCAAATTATAAAGGCATGTTTGCTTTGATTAAACCTCTTGTTTCATACTTCAGTCTGTGTAACTGATTCCTTTCTGTTATAGTTCATGCAGCAAAAGAGGGAGAAGGTATTGCAAAAAAAAAAAACTTTGCCACCAAACCTTAGGGAATTTTACAGATTGGGGGCTTAGAACAGATGGCAACTGTTATAGATGATTTTTTTTTTTTTTCGGCCACAAACTTTGATCAAGATAATTGGACAACTTGTACAAAGTTTTGTTTCATTCTACGTCCATTCAATCCATGGCTCATGGTTTTATCTAAAGCAGGCTGACATCTAAAAATACATCCATTTCAGTCTTAAAAATTCACAATATTTTATATGAAAAATATATAAATCACATTATTAAATCTGTTGCATGTCAACAATTTATGATACTTGCATGTATCTTATTTTTTTCTTATATTGCATTTATTTTGGGACTGGGGGTAGTTTCTGTATAGGCACATATTATAGATACTTATATTATTAGATTATACAGTAGATGTTATTGACAGACAAACTAACCATTGCAAAACTATTTTGCTACTATTGAGATGGGATAGTTTAGGGACATATCTGGTGCTAAGTGTGAATGACCTTCATAGGGGTAGGGTGATTACAGATGTAACTACAGAAATTAATTACAGATGTAATTACAGGTATTTTTAATATATTTTTAAATATAAGTACAATGTAAAAAAAAACATGTATTTACCATTAAGTGCATTGTATCAAAATATTAATAAAAATGTAAGTACATAGTTGTTAGAGACACTTAATATAAAGTAGGTCTGCATTTGTGAAATGGGACTGTTTATGTAATTGACTCACAACTAATACTTAGTTACTGAGAGTGCTGACAAAGGAATTTTGGAAAATTCTCCTGTGTGACTATTAGTCCTGGTCTCTCAAATAAATAGTTTGTTTATAGTCTTGTGGGATAGTTTAGGGACATATCTGGTGCTAAGTGTGAATGACCTTCATAGGGGTAGGGTGATTACAGATGTAACTACAGAAATTAATTACAGATGTAATTACAGGTATTTTTTAATATATTTTTAAATATAAGTACAATGTAAAAAAAAACATGTATTTACCATTAAGTGCATTGTATCAAAATATTAATAAAAATGTAAGTACATAGTTGTTAGAGACACTTAATATAAAGTAGGTCTGCATTTGTGAAATGGGACTGTTTATGTAATTGACTCACAACTAATACTTAGTTACTGAGAGTGCTGACAAAGGAATTTTGGAAAATTCTCCTGTGTGACTATTAGTCCTGGTCTCTCAAATAAATAGTTTGTTTATAGTCTTTTCAGAGTGCACAGATCTCAGATCTTGACAGATCCCACTTGAAATGTTGTTCACAAAACTCTAAAACATCTGTTATTATTAAGAAGTCGAGACAGAGCATACAATTGCAATGAAACGGATTCTCCAATTCAGTTCAAGGATGAACATGCATGACAGGAGCGGTAGTCCTGTTTTCAGCTGCCAACTGAATATACTTTGGATTTTCTGTTCAGCTTGAATTGTGCCATTTTGTGTTGTCTTTTCTGGCTAAAATGGAAAATGCTGTCAGAGTTAGAAAGATGTCACAGAATGTTTGATGAAACACAGATAGTGAAGGTCACCTTGAGGGCAGTCTTTTCAGAGTGCACAGATCTCAGATCTTGACAGATCCCACTTGAAATGTTGTTCACAAAACTCTAAAACATCTGTTATTATTAAGAAGTCGAGACAGAGCATACAATTGCAATGAAACGGATTCTCCAATTCAGTTCAAGGATGAACATGCATGACAGGAGCGCTAGTCCTGTTTTCAGCTGCCAACTGAATATACTTTGGATTTTCTGTTCAGCTTGAATTGTGCCATTTTGTGTTGTCTTTTCTGGCTAAAATGGAAAATGCTGTCAGGGTTAGAAAGATGTCACAGAATGTTTGATGAAACACAGATAGTGAAGGTCACCTTGAGGGAGTTTACCGCAAGCAATAAATAGAGCAGTCCTGAAATAACTGTATAACTACTGGTGCTGACATAATGCTTCATTAAAACATCGTTATCTCCATAACGAAAGATGTCACAGGTCAAGGGATCTGATTTCTCAAGGACTAATCCATTGAATTTCCTCCTCAATAAGCCCTCAACATTAAGAAGAAGCCATTTTCACTGTCACTTGCTTTCAAATACCTCACAAATTATATGTACTGTACTTATTTTTTGTTGCTAATGTAAGGAAAGTTGTTCACCCAAGTGAATGTCTTTTTTTTATATTGCTGGTTCCCTCTTATTCCACATTCAATCCCTGCCTGGTTGGCAGATCCAGTAGGTCAGAAAGTGTGTATGCACAATATTAACAATTTGATGATAGGTGTACTGTTAGTCATGCTCGATATCCATCATATGTTGATAGATCAGCATATGTGAATATACTGTAAAGGGCAATGTCTGTTGCTCCTATTGCTGCTTGGCAAAGCCTTGGAGGTCTTCAGACTGGTTTCCAAGGAGTAATTAAATATATGTAAAGCCCTTTGTTGGCTTGGGGAATTCTTAGATGTCCAAGTACATAGACAATTTTACAGAAGAATCCCTGTTGCACCCACTCAGATGAGTTTTAATGTCTGATTAAACTGTTCCACTAAACCATCTGTTAGTAGATGTGAAACTGAAGCAACTTGCACAAGCCTGTCACAAGCTGAAACTTCCATGGTTCCATAATAACAGTATTTCAATGTTGTAATGGGAACTCATCCATAGATTAGGTGGAAAAATTTGCAATTTAAAAGATATATTCTAGATGATTTTGGCAGCAGACCCATCAGATGCCGTTTCAGTGCACTTAAAGGGAATCTCAATCATATGTGGCATAAGAGGACTAGGTAGTGACTTCTGCAGTGTGGGAAGACAATTAACATCATCGCAGATGTTGTAGAACCTGGTTCGGGCCCAACAGCTAGAAGACAGAGAGATCTAGTATAGTTCCTACCTACCCAGGTTCATTGGAGATACATGCCTCTACCTACATTTCAATAAAACAAAAAAATAAAAATAAAAACACACCGTCAGTTGGGATTACTTCTACTCAGTAAGGTGTGTGTGCAGTAAACTCAATGAGAAACCCTTAGCTCATTTGGAGATGCTTCTCAATGGATATTTTGTATTTGTACAGGAGGAGCCATATGTCATGCTTAAGAAGTCTGACAAGGCACTCGTCGGCAATGACCGCTTTGAAGGCTTCTGTATTGACCTGCTTAAGGAGTTGGCCAGCATTCTGGGTTTTTCCTTCGAGATCCACCTGGTGCCGGATGGAAAGTATGGGTTTCAAGATGATAAAGGCCAGTGGAATGGGATGATAAAGGAAATCATGGAACACGTAAGTATTCACATTGTACAGCATCATAGCTTTTAAGTAACGAAGACCACTAATGCTGTTTCTGCTGAGTCAGATTTACCAGTACCTGCATCTCTACTTATACCTTTCACTTTAATAAAGCCTTTCTGCTGGTTTTCTGATGTCTGAACAAAATGCCAAGATGACACAATAACGCAATTAACTGAATGTGTTGCTCATTCCAATACTTCTTCCTCTCACAAAAAGCATGCTGCAAAGGTGACAGAACACACCTGGATTGCATTGACACACCACGGAGACACGGTGGCATGTGCTGCCACAGCGAATACATGTTTAAACGCCTCTACCGAGTCAGCAGAACTAGACAATGTTGAAAGCCGATTCCCCTCAATGTACCCCAAGCCCATTCTCTCAAGTCTCAGAGCTATCAGGCTGGGGGTGTAAGCCCTGTCACAGGAAAATGTGCTGCTGTGCTGGCTTCCCATCCCATCGCCCTTTTGCTGTCCTCACCCTCTGAGGTCACCAGAAGTCCAGGGCTGGAGAGCTGTAATAGCTTAAGTGGCATTTAGTGGAGGAAGTCATATGGTGGGAGTCAATGGCGAGGTGCTGGAAGGGTTGGGAGAGGTGACTTACTGCAGCGGCACTTAATGTCCCTTTTGCTTTGGCCAGATCTGGCTCGATTGCAGTCACCTTGAGGGGAACAAAGGGATTATGGCTGGAAGAGTCAAAAATGGAGATGGGGTATGTGTGTGTAAATGGCTGGAGATTATAAAGTATAAGAACTACATAACTGTCTCATAAAAATTTAATGAAATGTAATAACGCATTAAATAATTGTCATTGCTCCTTGGAATTTGAGATACTGCAAGGTGCAAATTATGGAGGCTTGAGGCTATTTCAGACTTGAACCCCAACAAGTGAAGTGGGTGCAGCCCCCCCATCCCCTCCCACCCCCAATCAATATAAAAAAGTAAATCGAAACTTTTGAATGGTAATGGATACATTAGTCTATTAACTTTAACAACTTACTGTAAAACTTTATGAAACTTTTTGTATGTCAAATTATTCTATGCATTTGGGGTAAAACACATCTTACTGAGCCAGTTTCGTATGCATGAGGTAATTATTTAGTCCAAACAGGGTTGTAGATGGGCCTGTGTTTTCAGGACTGTAGCCTCAAACCCTTTACTCCCTCACATAATTTGAGAGAAGAGCTGTTGAGCTGTTGTCAGACAGCGTAGCCTAATGAGTGTAGAGCAGAGCAGAGACACAATATGGACATCCAGAATTTTTCATAAAAAAAAAAAACTTTTCGAAACTCAATTTTCAGGCAACCCCAGCTGAGTTCAGCAGAGTCAGACAAACTAAGCAAACACTAGGCGATAGATCTGCTAAATATGTGGTCCTCATTGGTTTAGTTAGTAAACTTAGGAAAAACTGTGCTTTCTTCAAACCTCATCCTCATCTCCTTTTCTTTTTACTAAGACATTCCCCAAAACAATTAACACATTTCTCAAAACTATAATCATAAATTCAGAACAACAAAATCAGCGGAGCAATTTACAAAGTTTTTTCTCACATGGAATGGTGAAATGCTGGTGAAGTGACTCTCAGAGCAGCTCTGGAGATGACGTTTATGTGTTCTTGTCCTCATATAGAGAAAACACCATGAGTGTCACACGTTCTTCAGTATGTGTAGTAGACGAAACTGCACTGCTCATTCACACACAGACCTACAGAGCATGCAGACTTCATATTTATATAGCAGTCTTGCTGTTTAATGTTCACAGACACTCATCCATATCACAATCTGATTCATTGTGCATACCTACTTTTGATTTATTCAGGCGAAATTGACCAAATTCCGTGAAATTGTGCAATATAAATTGTATTTATATGAGTGTATTTTGTGATTATGTCCATGTTTGTGAAATCATAGTGCCCTGAAAAGACATGGTGAACTACATTAGCTTGCTGTAGGTCTCATCAGAGACAAATATTCACCTTTATTTCACCTTCTTTTGGCACTTTTTGAAAGCCAATGTACTTGTATGTGGCTATTTTTATACATTGTGAGTTTCTGATTAGTGTGTGAACAATTCTGCATACTAGTGTTCACATAGCGATAACAGTGTTAACTGTGATGTGATGTTACCTGGATGTGATAATGTTGTGACTGTTTTCAATTGCTAGTGTTACATTCCATGTAAGCACATGCTGTAGTTTTGAAAGGATGTTTAATAGATTTATTTGTTTTGAAACTATCACTAAGAGTAAATGGATTGGTAAAACTTTGCAATAAGTTTCCATTTGTTTAACATTAGTTAATTATATTAGTTAACATTGAAAATAATAAATACCTTAGAATTATTTTTCAATTTTAGTTCATGTTAATTCCAACATTTACTAATATATTATTAAAAGCTATTAAAATTCGTATCCCTTAATAATCATATAGTCATATTAGTCACACTTTATTTTAAGGTCTACTAATTATTTTAATTTACTATGATTTTTGCCTCAATAAACTTCTAATCTCTGCTAATTAGTAGCTCTAAAGGTAGTTGTTTAATTTAGGTATGGCATAGGATTAAATTATTTAAAATATAGTCATGCAGAATAAGGCATTAATAAGTGCTTTATAAGTACTAATAGACAGCTAATATGCTAGTAATGTACATGCTAGTTAAAAATGAGAATTGATCCATACAATAAAGTGTTACTGTTGTATTTTTATTAATTACCATGAACAAAGATGAATAAACACTGTAGCAAATGTATTGCTCATTGTTAGTCAATGTTGTTTAATCCATTACCTAATGTGACCTTATTGTGAGTTTTACCAATGAATCTGTAGTTGAAGAAGTCATCTTGTTTAGCTGGATTAATAATGACAATAATTAATAGGTTGTTCCCCAAATTTAGCTGTATAAAGCAATGTGTAACCAGTCTTCCAGAATAAACAAACAGAATGAAGACTGGCTTACTATTTAGTGAAATTACTTCAGGGATAGACTAATTGAAGAAGAGAGAAACAAGACAATGCAATTCTTATAGTTCGCACCTTGAGAGCAGCAGCTTGTTTGAGAGATACAGACCCAATTTATTCCTGGCGTTAATCTGGTATCTGTTTGCAATGATTTGATTACAAGTGGACAGCACTAAATACAGGTGTAAAACATTTGTTAACTCATTCCACAGTTGCAGGTAATACTTGTTTTTGCACTAGATCATCATTTATACACTAAAAAAAGTGAATACAAATGGGCTCGGCAGTCGTTTATGAACATGCCAAATATAGTAAACAAGCTCACTTATAATAGTTATCACAACCAAACTCTAGCTCTCAGCTTGTGATCTCATGGTGTGTTTAATCATTGCTTTTCTATAAATATCTCTCAGAAGAATTTGACCAGTTTTAGTTTCTCATCGAATGTTTTAAGCTTTGGGTTCAATGCGATGGATTTGAGTGTGTAGTATACTTGAGCCTTATCAGATGGCCTGCACAGTATCGAAGGTGCGGTGTGTATTTTTAGGAGCACTCATTTTGCGGCTGAGTGCCCCTCTTGCTGCTGTCTATATAGATAAGCTGATCTGGAATCAGCAGACCTGAAAAGCAAACTAAGAAACAAGCTCTGGGACCTGACCTCAGCCTGCCACATGAGGCTGAGCTAGATAGAGTGTTTTCATGTGAGTAAACTCAAAGCCTTATCTCTGAAGACGGATTTATGGACTCTGTGATTTCTCAACCGATTCTCCCCAAATGTTGCAGCTTGAGCCTTTCATGAAAACAATTTAAGACTTGAGCGCAGAAGGAACTTTTTTTAATGGAATGATATTTCTGAAGTTATTTCCATGAACTTAGAATGGCTTTTACAATTGCCTCGCCATTCGTACGTCAACATAAGCTACAGGAAACATTTTCAGTTATAGACTAGAACCCAGTTGCTCGAGAGCCCTTGTTGTGAGTGCACAGGAAACTGAGAGGCTGTTATTAATGGCTCTTGTCAAAGTTATTTATCAGCTCAATTTATTTCCATCAGTATTTTTTATTAGCTCTTACAGAATTTTCATTACTTTGGTATTGTTCTTTACACGATGAGTGTGTGTTATTGCTTACCATGACATGCACGTGTAGGGTCATCCATCGAGGGCTCGTAGATTTAAAGAAGACAACAAGCAACAACGGATTAGTACAGGGTTGTTTTTGGCCGATAAAGTGCCATTAAATCATAGGGTGATACATTTTTACTGTCACCCTGCGTGTTCACATAAATCATGGTTTCATAACTGAATTATCAAACGCCTTTGCCCTAGTACATCTATTTAACGGCATGTGCTTGTGTAGGTTTATCAAAACAAGTCAGACTTATTTGTCTTTGTAGGTCACTAAGCCCCTTGAAATGAAGTATAATCAGATATATGCGAGAAATAACAATAAAATCCCAACTTTCACAAAACAAAATCAAAATTTCAGTGATAGGCATCCCACTGCCAAAAATAACTAGGTCTCATTCACTAATAATTTCATTAATTATTTGTATTTATATGCACAGGAGAACTTCACTCTGTAACGGGACTGACGAGACGTGAGACGTGTGGATCCATCTGCAGACTTTATTAAAGAGACGTAGTACACAGGCAGGGTCAAAACAATGGCAAACAGGTATATGGCGGGCAAAACACAAGAATAGTCCTAGGGCTAGCGTAGGTCACCGATCAGCAGACAGAATCAAAGGGGCGAGACGAGAGGGAGAAATCCAAGGAAACAGGCAAAGAGCAGAATCCGCAAAAACAGGCAAGGCAAAACAAGGAAAACACGGAGACTCGGAAAGGGGTACAGGCTAAACAATACTCAGCAGAGAAATGTGGTTAGAGTGGGTGTTATATAGTGAATGAGGTAATTAGAAACAGCTGTGTGCAATGAGTGCAATCAGGGCAGTGTGCAAATTGTGCAAAGAATGATGGGAAATGTAGTCCGGGGTGCTATGCAACAGTTTGTGTAGTGCGAGAGTCAATGA